CTACGGCTGGGTGGTTTCGAAGGCCAAGATTCTAGGGATCAGGGTAAAGTATTCATGAACCCTGAGCAGACTTTCAAGGTCGGATCCTTCCTCGGCCCTTGTTTCTTGGGCTACCACTCGGATTCTGCGCGTTTGGGTGTCGAAGTGCAGGACGTTGGGTCTATAGACGTGACCAAGAAGCGCAAGTCCGGCAGCGCAATCCGCCTGAAGGTGATCATATTGAAGGGGATGATCTCCTGTCCCTTCCGGCAGTTCGCTGTCGGTGAGAAAGGAGACTATGTTTTCGATCAGTGCTGTGACGAGGTTGAATGTGTCTGCAGTCTGATCAAGTTTCTTCCTTTGCCTCCTTTCGACCTATCAGTGTCGTCGCCAACTTCATCATGTTCGTTATCATCACAGTCACCACCATCGTCGTATCATCGCCATCAGTTCCTCCTCGAAGCATTCATCATCGCTGCTCCTTTGCTTGGTGGGCGTTACAGCTGATCACATCACGTCGGCTTGTCCGTCGTCTGGTTGAGACGGTTGTTTATGACTTAATATAGGGGCCTTACTAAACAGAATAGGGTTTTACGGCCCATGATACTTTAATTAAAAACAAGGAACCCCCCAAAATAGTATTGGTAATTATTTAGGCCCCTATACCAAGCCCTATAATACCCCGTATAGTAATCCTGCCATGGACTTCTTTATGAAGTACCCTGAAAGCAAACCCTATATTAATTACTTAGGCCCCTATATTAGCTTGATGCCTTTCTTGCCTTCAACCGCTTCATCACTGCTCAAGACCAGACTTTGAGGCTCGATCAGCAGGGCCTCTTGGATATGGGGGTTGCCGAAAATAGGAGACCCCCAATTACGGTACGGTACATAGTAGGATCCTTATTACAAGGACCCCAAAATAAGGTACCATAGGGTTGAAGGCTCAGGGTTGGGAGTATTGTCACTGTCGTGCTTGCCCTGCTTTGATGCTGCTAGAACCATTGCAAGTCGCACGGTGATTGTACAAGCCAGGAGTCGAGTGATGGCTTTAGCTTCTCCTATAAGAGGCAGATTATTGTTGGCATTGTTCTACAGTAATTCGAAAAAAGGTTTGAATATGATGCAATTGCCTGCCTCGGCATCGTAGAAGGGATACTTTCGCCCATTGTAGGCAATCGGCCTCAAAAACACATGCCTAAAGGGTTGAGGAATCAGGGTCCAAGTCGAATCAGGGTCCAAGTCCAGATCAGGAAACGCGATTCAGGGCAGGCATGTAGCGATGCAAACCTGCCAACATCGTCACCTGTTCATGATTATGCGGGGCGTAACAACCCGACAGCGAACGACTGCATTCTTTGCAGTCCCGGTACTGCTGAAACTTCGCGAACAAGACCTACAAGAAACCGAGGAACGAAACCCTGAACTCAGACCCTAAACCCTAAATCCTACAGATCCCTTGAAAGAACCTGTATAGTACCCCTTTCAAAGGAAGCCTAGATCCTCTAGACCCCTTGGACGAACCCGTACAGTACCCTTTAAAGGAACCCTAAATCCGATGCGCGGGGATTTGATCTCGATTATGTTGCTGCTCTCCCCACCAGAGCTGTAATGAATATAGGTGTGGCTGGCTTGCACTCTCCACAGACTGGGACCCTGTCTCTCTCACACTTCCACACGTGCAATCCTATGCAGGCAGAACCGGCGGCCGTTCCTTTTGCAGTCGCTGCCGGCGGCGGTTCGTCTGTGCACGGGATAGCTCTGATTGCTCAGGATAGAAGACACATATAGCACTTAGCTATGGGCATTGACTTGAGCCATACGTTGCGTGGGCGGTCACATAGAAAGGTAAGGAGAAGCGATGCGGTGTGCGTAGCACGTCCACAAGCTTACTCCTAGAGTCGAGGGACGCGTAGCGTGCCCCCTTCTCTTGCACTTTACACGGTCTTGCTCACAGCTCTTATAGTGACACCTTAGAACTTGACAAGGCATCGCAGTCCGTTCGCACCCCCCATGAGTTGCGTCTCCGACGCTGCTCACCCGGAAGATGGCACGATAGGACAACAGAAAATGTTCCGCCGCAACGTTGACATTGAAAATCAGAGCTTTGCATCCCAATTAGAAACGTTGTGACACTCATCTACGTCAGTAACGATCCCCTGAAATGGCAAACGAATCAGGCGTCACCGAAGAAAGAAGCATTCGCGATGGCATTCCACGGGCGAAGCTCAGAGGTCACGAACTGAAAGATGATGTGGTTCAAGCATTGTCTCGCCACCATCTTCGCGTTGACGTAGGATCGCGGTCCCAGGGCCGGAGGTTCTCCTCTGGATACGGGTCCCTTTGCTTTCCTTTGTCCTTGCCTTTGTTTCGGCCCTTACTGGCAATGTAGTCATGGTAGGTGTTGGTGTTCCAGCCTCCATGCTGCTCATTTCCAGTTCTCTCACGCCCTTTTGAAGGTCCCTTGGCCGAAGAAGCGCTTGCACGTTCCTCCGCAGTGACAGGCGTGTCCATGATGGAAGTACCACCTGGAGGGAGATAGTCAGCGGCCGAGATGTGATGTAGGGCTTCAGTACGTTTGGTTGTCGGATTTTGCTGTCTCTCAGCCTTGGATCTGACCAATCTGTCCATGAAATGCGCAGGCATTTGCACATTGTGGTCCACCAGCAATCCAATGGTCTGGACTGAATGATCGGCATGAGTCAGCAGGATACCGACGGGGTCGATGTACAGGAAGTCCACCGGTCCAGTTGGCGTTGGTCGTAGCACTGAGAATTGTTGGTGTCCTGTCACCATCGGAATCACCTCGCACAGGACGTTCAGGCAACAGAAGTGCATAGCCTTCACATCTTCATCCCTGTTGCTCTTCAAGTACGTAGTAGGGTTGAAGTTGTCCCTGCCAATTCCCATCATGTTGGCTCCCCGTGTAAGCAACGAAAGCATCTGATTCGTCCGGAAGCGCTTCAAAGTGTAAGTCCCGTTGGGATCGTACTGCTTGAGGTTCTCAGGCTCCTTGGCAAAGCGAATGATCTCCTCGTCAGTCACATCCCTGCTCACACCCGTTTCTCTGTCCACTCCAGCCAAAGATCCCCACTTTCCGAGCACATCATAGCGTTGGCCAAGTGCGAAATTCTCCCTTCATCTGGAACAACGGCATAGTCGCCCACTTCGCGAATCCTGACCAAGCCTTGTAGATGGTTCTGCACACCACGAATGCCATATACGAAAGAGCGGCCATGTTGGCGTCAATGCAATGGGCATTTCGCTTTCCTGGGTAGTAGGATGGCTGCATGGCGGTACGTGCGAGTTGTAGTTCAGGATCGATGTTCAAAGACTGGCCGGCGATGAGGACGGGACGTCGTTCCTGTGCAACTGCATCTGGTACTGCGTCATCAAAGTCCTCTCCTGGCTCTGTGTCCATTTCTTCATCAGGTTCCTGTTCTGGATCGTCCTCCGCGACGACAGATGGCTCTGGGATTTCCTCAGGTTCCGCAACGGTCTCTGTCTCCATGGCTTCCTGCTCCTCGACGGTCGCCTCAGGCACTGCTGCTGCTGCAGCTTCCATTGTCTGAGCAATGAAGTCACTGGGGATCTCCGTAGGAGTCTCCCGTTGTGGAGTACCTTGGTAGTATCCGCAAGAAACGAATTGTGACCAGCAGGACGTGCATCGGGAGAAGCATGCTGGAACAATGTTGTAGCATGCCGGGCATACCCTCATTCTCCTTCCATCCTCGTCTCTGCGTAGGTCTTCGGGTCGCCAATTCTTGATGACAAACTTGATCCCTTTGTCCATGTAGTGATGCCGAACCGTGTTCTCCCTGTGGGACTCCAGGACAGTCGTAAGGTCTCGAATGATCTGCTCCTTGCTGGTGTCGTGGGGTCCAGGAGGCATCTCGCAAAGCAATTCCATGATCTTGCTTGGTGTTCGGTATCTCTCGAATTCAGGGAGCAAAGGTGATGCATTGTAGTCCAACACCATCTCTTTCTCCAATCGTTCATCGTAGATCTTTTCCACCAGAGCGAAAGAGTGTGTATCTTGAGGATTCGGGACGCAAAACCATACCTCCTTGACGAACTGGAACGGTATCGTTCGGCCAACGATGATGATGCCGCTGTCTGTGATACGTCCATCTTCTCGTGCAAGGTCCTGCGAAGGGACATGGAGGACCGCCAGCGGCATGTGCTTGGCTTGTGGTCCATGTACCCGCATCTTGGTCGTCGCATTCCGGTGATCGAACGGTGCGAATACCCCCCAATAGCTGTGGAGTCTGCCGCCTTGGTTGCCTCGAAATTGGCGCCTATGGTCGAAGTCCCCGTCGGGGTCCTCCGAACCAGGCATGATGCCTTGCGTGACAATGGAATCCAGGTTGCGGCATGCCGTAGCGTGGAACGCGCCTCCAAGACGTTGCAAGAGGGTCATAGATGGAGATATTGCGAACCTGTTCTTGTCCAACTGAAGCAAATTGTTCTGGGGATCGGAGTGCGCAGAGTGACCACTCGTAGCCCGAACTGCCCATGGCTTCACCCAGCCGTTGCAAACGTTCAGGTACCTCTGGCTGTGCCGGCAACGATCATTGTTCTGGATCTCTGTGATCTGGTCAGGAATCGATACCAACATGTTCGATCCTGCGGATCCAAGAGTCTCCGTGCCGGGGTCCTTCACTCTCACTCCCAGGAACTGCAGCCGAATCTTGGCCTTGTGGCGTCTCGTGGCTGCGAGCATGTTCCCTTGGAACAATAGCTGGAGTCTTTCATTGTACACTCTCTTCCTCTGTTGATCATCGGTCCTTGAGACCGCTTCGGTGATGCGTCTGCTGTCATGGGTCCATAGTTGCTCATGCCTCACCAAATCATCGATCAGCACCCACCCTCCTTCATCACATCGAATGACGCTGCTGAATGCCACTTGGCACCTGTTGTCAAGCCATTCCGAGCCTGGGCGCCTGGCGATTCTGTGACGCAGGTCAGATTGAATGCATGATAGCGCCCAATCCGCGTTCCTTCTTCGATGATGGGTGATG